AGCCACAGCAGCCACGGGACCCAGTCCCCAGTACTCACCAGGACTCAATGCAGGTCTTCCTTTTGGGTCTACTGCACACTACGCTGCTTGCCTTCAGTGCATTCCCGACACAGTGCAGAATGGTCAGAAAACTGCACGATGCCTGGCTTCGGAACTCTGGAGCTTCTCACAATCTCCTCCTGCACAGCCGGGCAGCCCTGGCTGCTTCACAGGGTCCCGGGTCTCAATTTTCAGCAGTCACCAAAAGCCAATACAGCTTTTCCTCTTGGGTCCACTGGTCAGTTTGTCACATTAAAGGTGTGGGATTTGCAGACTCCTGTTATCAGCCATCACAGTCTCAGCACGACCTTAAATTCTCCAGCTATGCTGTCTTGGTTAAAAGAATCGTTATCCATTTGTCTGGCCCTCTCCATGTTGTCATATTCTAGCATCTAATATGATTTCTCTGGAGAGACTCTCCGCCCAATTCCCTAGCAAGTCGCCATTTTTGAAAGTCGTCAGGTATATTTGTTGTCTTGATGAGAATAAAAATTATCTTTTACACAACAATGAAAAGAATATTCCCAAATATTCCTGTTTATATGTTTGTGAGTCATATAATTGTGTTTTCACCAATGTATTCCATCTTTGAGTCAGCCAGCCAGTGGAGTTGCCCAGCATGATCACATCAAACTGATGGACTGATTTAGTGCTATTGAGGATTCCTAGGATTTTAGTTATTCGAACTTCTCACCTCCAAAGTTTGCCTTACTATAGGAATTTAACAAATAGTTTTGAGTTGAATTGATCTTTTAATTGATACTGGCATTGTTTTATGATTCTTCCACTTTAAGTTCTTATGTTGGGGCTTAGAGGAGTTCCTGTCTTGATAAAGAGATCGATCGTTCTGAGATGTGTTGTGAGCATGACCTTAGTTCCTACTTGCCCATTTTTGCTTTTTGGTGTCACTTCATTGCATTCAATGGTTTTATCTTTAGTGTTTTTAAGCTTTTTTTAGTCTCAGATAATCATTCTGTCTGACTCCTGTCCCTCTCTGTATTTCCCTGTTCACTGTGTTTCTGGTTTATCTTGTTTACCAAACTCTGGTAGGGAAAATTTTATAGTTGTGCTCTTTATGGTTGGCCCATTGGCATGCCTTTCCTCTCCAGAATGATGCATGAAGGCCATCTGTCATATAGACATGGAAATGGAATACAGTTTAGTCTACACACCATCCAATGCCACCTGCATGAATATTTCTGTGAAATTTTACACTTATCTGATAAATAGCACTATTATATGATAGGACATGTTCTCTATGAGGAATATGTAAATCTGATTTAAATCTATTACATAAACAACAAATGCAGGGTTGTTTCTCAAATCTCTAGTTTGGAGGCAGAACAAATGGCTAAACCTTCACTGTCACCTGCACCTGTTCTCTGGTGCCACAAGGGACCCAGTCAAAGTCACAATTGATACATATTCTATGTGTTACTTAAAACGTTAAGGTAACTTCCTCTGTAATGGATATTCAAATAGGTTAAAGCAGTTTCAATTGTCCTAAGGTTTTGAGAGAAGTTATTGTATGACATACATGTTCAACTACTAATTTGTTAAATAGGAATTATTCATGTAACCATATATAGCATTTTCCCCTACTTTTATTATAGTGAGAATCTCAGCACAGACTTGTGTTTCACCTATGCTTTGGACAAGCCTAAACCTGGCTCAATCACAGGAAAACTTCTTGTTTCTTGAACTCATCCAAGGCATGAATTCGGGCACCCTCACAGCTTCCCCCACATTCAGAGAACTAAAGTTCAGGAGAGCAGACTGGAGTTGGTTGTGCATGTCTACACAGATGGTGCAGCTGTCAGAGCCATGCTGTCATCAGAAAGTCCGATGATATGGAGAGAGAGAGAGAGAGAGAGAGAGAGAGAGAGAGAGAGAGAGAATGTGTGTGTGTGTGTGTGTGTGTGTGTGTGTGTGTGTGTGTGTGCTGGAAGGGAACAGATAAGAGGCAATTAGCCTAAAAGTCTCTGAGCATTGGACCAATGAAATAGAATAGAGAAAAGTTGGTAGAGCACTTGCCTACCATGCACAAGGTCATGGGTTCAGTACTCAGCTACAGAACAAAAAATGAAAAAAAGATATATAGCCCAGAAATAAGGCCATACACTGATCAACTGATTTTTGTAGGAACTGCCAAGAATACAAGGCTTTGGGAGATCATCCCTTCAGTAAACACTGTTAGGAAAATTGAATATCCACATGTAGAAGAGAGAAAATGGACTTTCCCCTCACATTTATACAAGAATAAACTTAAAATAGATTAAAGATATACATATAAACCACAAAACTATAAAAACTAGTAGGAGAAGCCTGACTTTGGCTTGGGCAGTAACTTCTTACTTATTTCCCAACACCACAGGCAAAAGAAGTAGAAATAAGAAAATGGGACTGTACCAAGTATAAAAATCTTTAGAGCAAAGGAAATCATCAGTATAGTGACACGACAGAAAGAAAATGTTTTCTAATTGTAACTGGTGTATGAGGGTAATATGCAAAATATCCTCAACCAATAATCACAAGAAAATTGGTATTCGTTATGTGGTACCAGGGATCAAACATACAACCTCGTGCTTGCCAGGCAGGTGCTTACATCACTGAGCTAAATCCTTGGCTCAGAAAACTAGTATTGTTATTAAATGTAGGCACAGAACCTGAATAAACCTTTCTCAAAAGAAGACGTTCGAAGAGCAAATAGATAGAAAAAATGTTCAACATTTTAAATCTTACAGGGAAATATCATTTCACATCTGTTAGACTGACTAATATTTAAAACGTGAAAAGTAAGAAATATTGGCCAAGTATTGGCCAAGTACTGGCCAAGATGAGAGTATACACAAGAGGATACTATTCAGTTTAAAATAAGCCAAGAAATCCTGCCATTTTATATGAACTGAAGGACATTATGTTAAAGGAATAGAGAGAGAAATACCATGTTATCTGTCTCACTGGATGTATAATTTTAAAAAGTTAAATTCATAAACGTTGAGCGTAGCATGATGGTCATGAGTCTGGGGGCAGGGGGAGGGGTGGCAGGGAAAGGGAGACAGGCTGCACCAGGGGGGTGGAGTGAAGTTTAAACAGGAGCAAAACACTTTAGTCTCCTATCATAAAGCACAGGAACCTAACAAAAATGCACTGCACATTTCAGAATGGCTAACAGAGAGGATTTTAAATGTCCTCATCATAAAGCAATATAAATACTCCAAGTGAGGAAGCTATAACTAGCCTGATATGATCACTTTCCACAATGGATACATGTATCAAAATATCACATATATGTCAATTAAATATATATTTACATATAATTATATATATTATATAAGTCAATTAAAAATAAACATAAAATTGTCTGAAAGCACTGAGTGTAACTGACGAAAGTCTAACAATGAGTGAATTAGGCTGCTGAAAGATGGTTCACATGGACTAAATACTGCCTCTGGAAGCCTTGATTTATGAGTTGGCCTGAGGTTGAGTCTCTTGAGCTAAAAGACTCAGGAACTGACTTTACATTTCCATAGTCTAGAGTAGAAAATAGTCTTTTTACTTCCTTTGGGAATATAATGAACATAATAAATTACCACTATGTGGTCAGAGAGAAGTGTCTGTTGATCAGTTTATTTTCCACAATACAGTAAAACCCCACTATCAAGGCAAAGTGAATGGGATACACAAATTCAACTGTACAAAATGGAGGATTACATTCATGTGATATTAATGAAAAGCAGGGTTTTAGTTAGACCCGCACTACTACAAAACGCCAAGAGGAATTATGTTGGAACTTACATGCAATTAATCATATATTAAACCACAAGGGTCCCAAATGACTAAGAGCCATGAAACCCTAATTTCACACCTTCTCCCCCACCCTACCCCATGGAATCAGGCCACTTTCAAAGTGAAGGCAGGGATGAGGTCTAGAGTCAAGGCCAGTCACTAAGCACCTTTGTAGGACCTGTGAGTTTCTTTTTTAAAAACATACATACATATAAAAGTTGTATTTTTACACAATGGAGTACTACTCAGCTCTAAAGAATGATCACATTGAGATATTTATAAATAAGTGGGTGCAGCTTGAGACCATACTCATAAGCGAAATAAATCAAACTCACATGTATAAATACCGAATAGTTTCCCTAGTGTAAGAAATGGTAAGAATACATAAAAGTATGTGGTAATCATGATTCCACATTATATTGTTTTGAAACCTGATAATGTTTTCATTCATTAATTGGAATGGTTTTATTCTGGGTTGTTTGATTTTATTGTCTGTGATGCTATGAACAGTTATTTTGAAGAAAACAAGACATTATAATAGCTAGTGCTGATTTAATATCAGCTTGTTTTGAAGCCCCATCCAGCTTTTGTTTTGCTGTCTCCATCAGTTTTATCATGTTGTATCTTACTGGATTTTATTATATGTGATAGTGTAAACAAAAATTTTATAGTCAAGGAGATAATATAGAAACCGTTGTTCGTTTTCTGTTAGTTGGTTCTAAATACCCTGTAATACTTTTACCCTCTTGAATGGTTTTACACTGTCTTGATATGTTTGATAGTACACAAAGGCATACTCAAATGTTTCAACAGTAAGTACTGTTATGTCAGGTTATCCTGTGGTGAAACACTACACTGCTTAAATTGTTCTGTTCTGGCCTGTGTTGTTATGTCCTCTTCCATCTTAATCTCCCCTTTTTTATATTTTTTTAAATTAAAAAAATAAAAACATACATACATACACAAATAGCTACAGGTAACAAAGATAGCTCAGGGCTACTGGAAAATGTCTCAGCAAATCAACCTAGTGGAATTCCCACTAATGAGCACAGGAAAGGCAAGGTAGACCTGTGAATCCGTAAGGACCTCTGTGCACTGGGTATAACAAGAGAGGTTCACCAGCGCAGGCCACATCTGCGCTATCAAAAAAGCTTTGCAGACATAATGTTTACCTTATGCTGCTCGAGTTTCCGTTGTATTGTGTTTGCAGTTTCCTCATGGGCCTGCTGAACAGCTATTTCCTCTTTCAAGGCCACCTCTGCCCTGTACAGCCAGGCACCTATAGTGCCCAGGGGTGCCGGGAGCGATTTGTCAAGCTGGCTATGCCAATCAAAGAGCTGGAATTAAAAAGAAATAGAAAAATAAAATAACTTCATACAGAAGACAGTCCCTAAAAGTTCCTCAAGTGATTTTTAAGTTTACACATAAGGCTTAAACTTAATGAATGCAGACTATTTAATAAGTGTTGAACAAATACCTATGTTCTGAGTGTGACGCTATGGAGACAGGGACATATTAGTCACAGCAAATTCTGAGGAATTAGAACACTTCTCAGACATGGAAGGATATTACTGGGAAGCTGAAGCAATTGCTTTCTTTACAGGAACAGTGTAAAATACCTACTGGCTTTCAGTGTGGTTTTTGCTTAAAGAAAAGAAGCAGTTTTTCTCACATGCTCAAGGATGCAGCAGTTACAAACCATTGGTAGGAATCTGGTGGACCCACTAGAACCCCATTAATACCTCCCATATATCCAAACAATTTTGGAAGAAGTTGTGGTTATCTAGACAGCTCTAGACAAAGATGAGTTCTTAGGATTCTCTCCATATGCGAAAAATTCTCTAGCATTCTCTCAATTTCTTCAATTTTTCACAAATCTCAAGCATCATTCTATGGTTTACTATACTGTTGTTGAGTAGAGTTGATGGAAAAAATGAGGCTATCAAAGTAAGTAAGAAATAGTAAATTTGAGTCAAACATTCCTCTTAGCTGTAGAAGAGGCCCAGAGGTTTGAAATCTAGGTCTGTACGAATTCATGAATAATGTTAATATGGAAGACACTCACTAGTTGTCCTTCACATTCATGAATGACTAGATAAGAAAGGATGTTTATATTAAACATTACAAAATTTTATGGCTACCTCGAAAGATTATTAACCACTGATGAGACACAGAAAACACAGGAAGTGATCAACTCTCCATTCCCAGGAATCTTCTACGAGAGTCACCTAGTGTAAACAATCCAGCACTAACTTGTGTAGAGTGAGGAGTAACCCAGAAGATCTTCCATGATTTCAGTCTATCACTGGTCAACAACCATCATGCTGTCCTATCATGTGAAGGAAAGGCAAGGAAGGTAAACAGCAAGCACTTCTCACCAGGTTACAGAAAGTCTAACAAGAGGGCAAATAGTGAGTCTCTTCTTGACTCAGACAGAGACAGCAAGACCCGATGGATGTCACTGCATAGGGGAAGAATAGGCAACCTATTCTTGACTAAATTACATAAGCTGTAAAGAAATTAATCATGGGGTAACTTACCCTGGAGGACAGTCTGTCCCAGGACTGTTTTACCAGTGCTTGGTCAAGTGATAATTTACCATCTCTAGTTAACGGCTGTATTAAATGTTCAATCTGTTTCCTTTTTATTTCGTATTGAATTCTGAAGTGCTTAAATGACTAAAAGAAGAAAATCAGCAACAGGAAAATCAGCAGTGAGTCAAAAAATAAAAAGAAAAGAAGCAGCAAAGGAAACCGTATGTTAAAATAGCAGTTATTTATATAGAGAAATAGTCAATACATGCTATTGATAATACCACTAATGGTAGTGATGGTACTAACAGAGGATCCCACTCCTTAAGCCCTGACTATGAATCTGATCCTGTGCTAAGTGCTTCTCCATGCCATGCTCGGTGGCTCTCTCCTCAGCCTGACTCATAGACACGCATTATTCTCAAACCCAGAAGTGACAACAAATACTAAAAACACAGGCAAATAGAAGGACTAAAGCCTATCTGTGGGGGTGAACTTTTGGCAGTCATGTTGTTGTGCTTTTACGGTACAAACTATGTTAATATATTGGATATTTTTCTAATATAAAGCCTCAGTATTCAGGTTTACTTGACACTTTCCCATAAATAAGTGGGGTTTTAGATTGTAGTTTGGCGTTCAGTTTCTAAAAGGTTCACCGTAGCTGACTAGAGATTTTCACGTCTAGCTAAGTAACGTACACCCCAGTCCATGTTTGTCATAAAGAACAGAAAACAGGAGTATATACCTATGCTGATAACATAGTGGCTTTACTTCAAAGTATAAAGCAATTTACAAAATAGTTACATATATCAAAATAAAGCTTAAAGATATCTAAATTTATTGTGTTTAAGTGTTTAAGCAACACTTTGTAAAGGGTTAATTCAGGGCTTTTATTTACATAGTAATCTTTTGCCTTAATTTCATGACATTAAAATATTAAATATGCCACAGTATAGTTAAAGTAAATTTGTAACACATAAGCACTGTCCTTTTAAATTTCTACATTTTACATTAAATTAGCATATCTTCAAAATGAGACTTCAGTCCAAATATGATTGGAAAACACCAATAAAATATGCAGTTGAGTTACAGAACAGGCGAATGGCCTTACAGAATGCAGAAGAAAACACGCTGAAAAGGATTTCAGAATTCTATGCACACATGTCAATTCACACAAAGAACACTAGGGGGGGACAGTGAATAAAACTTTACCACAGGTTTATTTGCTATTTTTCTAAATTGATGACATTTTAAAAACATTAAAATGTAAAATCAATCTTTAATCTTATCCAAAAGAATTGTATGTCTGAAAAAACTGAAAAAATAGCATTTATTGGTAAGTTGAAGTAAGAAAAAAATGCTGATCACATGATGAACAGTTGAAAGAAAATTTTCTGTATGTGTATATTCTAGAGAGTCTCTAACCTTGTTTTTAAGCAACTGATAATCACTTTTGCCACTCCCAAAATGTTTATAGTTTATATTTTATATTTTTCTAAACTTGTTTCCGTCTCATAATATAACATCTGAAAATCACAAAATTTTATAGTTTGAAGTATACTTTTTGATGATTTATGCTAAAACTAATCCTAATGGACTAATTAATTCTACTCTAGGATTTCTGTTGTCAGTTTACTATTTAATCATCGTTAATGATCTTATCAAGAAATTTTGGACTGGAAAATAACACAGTGAACTTCAAAGAAAAATATCACATTGATAATAAACATACATGTATTGCTTTGCCATGTTCAATAAATATATTGGAGCTTTGATTCATTTAAATTTAGGCTTATTTATATTATTATATAAAATCACACGTTAGTACCAAAGTTAAATCCTTTGTGGTCTGCCATGTTGAATCTTTCACATCGCTATAACTTTTTGTAGCCAAAAGTGACCAAAATATAATGTAGATTTGAACACACTATATAATCTAATGCAGAATACACTAGATTTAGTTTTGTCACTAAAATGAAGTAGTGTTTTAAGTAAGAGGAAAACAATGCAACACAGAATGAGTCACAATGTTTTAATAGGAAAATCTGCTATAAAACTTTATGTCTTGGAGGTGAAAACTGGAATTGGAAATCCAGTTAATGACCATGTACCAATATGCGGAATAACAACCAACTCTGAGATCAACTTGGACGTAATGCTGTAGAACTAGGAAGATCTCAGGAGAAACTGGGTCCTTTAATGGACCCACTCGAAATAGTCACACAGCAGTTTTTTTTTTTATTAAATTCAGTTCACTTTGTAGTAATTGTCACTTGACTCATCAGTTGTTTATTTATCTATCGAATGGGCTTCTGTGCTAGGTAACATCTATAAAACCATAAATTACAGGGAAAACAATGACTCCTGGCTTTTGTTCTGGACCATCATGGTGGCACCTCAGAGCTCCCTCTACAGGCTGTACAATACAACTCAAAGCTGCCCGTGCAGATAAAAACATAATTATAAAGTTATATGCCAGTTTAAAATAGTGCATATTATTTCTTGAAAGACTTTTTCATCCACGTAATTTGAAAGATTAAAAAGACTAAATGACATTATGAAAATCTTACCCATGAAAAGTTTTTGAAAACTTGAAATCTATTTTCAACACATTACCTGATATTTATCCTGCAGATTTGATTCTGTCACCTGTGCCCTTGTCACATCTCTTTCAAATTGTTCTATCCAAATTTTCATTTCTTTCAGAATTAATCTGTCTTCTCTCTGGAAAGCAGCAAACATTACAATTTTATCTGTAACCAAGCATTTACTCAGTTGATTAGACTTCACCTTTAATACTTTCCAATGCTCTCAGAAACAATTTTTCTCCTCTTTCCTCCCACCCCTTTGGGAATACTTTTAGGAAAAAGTAATTCTAGAAAAATATTATTCTTGTTAATACTGAAATTATCTACCCCCATTGTTTCCCTCAATGCTAAGGGAACTTGCTGTTCCCTTAAGTTAGAGCACTAACTTAATAAAGAAAATGTGCTCAGAAAAGTAGGTTTTGAGTCCAAAAATACTCCAAAATGGCAGCAGCTGGAGTGCAACCACACGCTTGCGGGTGTTTCCCAATCCAAGGCCATTGGTAAGCCAGAGGACTCTTCTGTACAGGATTAACTCTGACAGACCCCAAGGAGGTACTGTCATTAGTTGTCCATGTTGCTTTCTTTAAAATGATATTTGGTATTACAATATAAACTTCAAATCGATGGCAAACACATTTATCTGGCTCAATAGCATTCCTAGGTCCTTGCAGCATGGTTCCTCCTAGAGAGTCACCAGGTCACCTGTTGAACAAATACACCCAAGATTCATTTACATGTTTCCGTGAATAACAACAGGCGCTATTCTAGTATGTACTTTGTGAATTCAGGTTTTCATCCCTATTTCATCATTATTATTTGCAGCATAATCATAAACATATTTGCCACGATGTTTGTGAAATTTGCAAGGGGTTTTCAAGTACAGCATCTCTTTTTTCTGCCCACAGTCCTGTGACACAGGCTAAAAAGAATCTCCTCATTGACAGGTGAATTGTACAAGTAGAAAGAATGCTGTTTATACGGGCAGGTAGAACAGAGTTAAATTTTGATGGGGACATATACTAGGTCTGTGTTCTAGGCTTTCTCTGTCTCTGTCTCTGTCTCTGTCTGTCTGTCTGTCTGTCTGTCTGTCTGTCTGTCTGTATCATCATCATCATCATCATCATCATCATCATCATCATCTTTTGTGGAACCTTGACACACCCTATGGTTCTGCTGACAGCTGGAGTTTGTCTATGTTATATGGAGGACAGAAATTGGCACAGACTGCTGGTGTGGTCCATGACCTCTTTCACTTTCTTGAGCTCCAGACACAGCTGTCCGTTTCCCAAATACTTATCTTTCCATTTTCCTATGCACCATTACTGGGAAGCTTTGCCTGATCCAGAGGTCTGAGCCATGGATCTGTGACCACTAATCGTGATATGTGAACTTGAATGAATTAAGAAAACTCTAGCAGATTAGGAAAGCACAGTTTCGGATGTGTCCATGGATGACTGACCTACAGGCCAGCAAATTGAGGGGAAAACCTTCCCCAGTTGTGGGTGGCACCAACCAATGGACTTGTAGCCTGGATGGAATAAAAAGGGAAATAAAAGGATGTGTCCCCATTCTAAGAAGTTCAGATCTTGCTGAGGAGACGCGTTCTTTGCTCCTGTCTTTGGACATCTGTCTGTCTCTATGTTTCCAGTCTCTTCAGCCTTCTAACGCAGACTCTCACTAGTGACTGTCCAGTATGCTTTCAGGCCAGCAACCTTGGACAGATGCTGCATCCTTCATTTTTTTTTTTCTTTTTCCTGCAGCTTCTACCTTCTTGGACTGAACAGCAGCTAGATCATCCTCTAGTTCTCTAATACACAAATGACCATTACAGACTCTTCTGTCTGGTCCTGTAAGCCACCTAATAAATCTTTCATAGTTATTCATATATTTTTATTGATTCTGTTCCTGTAATTAAGCCTAATTAGGGTTTAGCTTCTACACAAGTAGTTCACAAATGTTAGTGTGCATTAGAACTATCTGGAAGGACTGTAATAATTGAAAGGTTAGGCATACATGCAGACTTTTTTGGCTCAAGAGTTCTGGAGTAAAACTGAACTGTTTCTTTCTATCGCTAACATTCACAAGTGATCCCGAGACTGCTGGTCTGCCGACTGCACTCTCCCGTCCTCCATGGCATCCTCATGTATGTTTTTATATTTAGTGCCTAACACAGTGTCAGTCAACACATTATTATAGAATCACGATTACTGAATGACATAGTTACTAAGGGAAGAAAGTTGAGTTGGATCCTGCAAAGCTTCAGCCCTTCTCATGGGGGTCACGAATGATCAGGTGAATGTAATTAGGGCACAGTTTTATTGGCAATTGATTTTCATGCCCAGATAATTCATTTTAATGAACTCAGAGGAAAAGCTGTTGTTGATCTATCTTCAAGGTCTGAGAGGTCAGTGTGACATTCATGCATGGGACCCATATCACGGTGAGTACGGGACTTCACTGCCTTCGAGGACAGGCTACTCATCAGCTTCTGCATCCGAAATGCACTTGGGGCTGTTCCTCAGAGCAGCTGTTTGTCATTAATTAAAATTACTTCACCAAGCCATCTGAGGATTATGTTCTTAAAATAACTTTATAAGAGTTCATTTAGTAAATTATTTTTTTCTGCTGGTGGAAAAGTGTCAAGGAAAATGCAAAAAGTAAGAGATATGACCATTTACACACATAACACTGTTTTGTTCTAACAGGAAAATGAAGTGAAAAGCAGTAGTCTCAGATTCCATTAATTTAGTGGATATTTTCAATTGGTAATTTTCACATGCATTCAGATAACATGGAGTTTGTTTGCCTGCAAACCACCCTAAGCTCCAAGTAACATTCTCTCTCTCTCTCTCTCTCTCTCTCTCTCTCTCTCTCTCTCTCTCTCTGTTTTTGTCTTCATCTCTCTCATGCGCGCGCGTGCGCGCACACACACACACACACACACAGGCACATTGGTACTTTTGTGCCAGATATATATATATTTATGTTTCACGTGGAAAATGAACTAAAATTAATTTAGCATCTGATGTGAAATTGTTACTTCTGACTTTCTACACCAGGGTTCATGTAAACTCTACTGCACTGATATTTAACCCCAAACCAAAATGTAATATAAAGAAATATTGCAAGATAGCACAAGGACTTAATCATTTGGAATGAGCAAGTATTTAAAAGCATTCATTTCACAAGTATTTCTGAGCACCTATTTTATGTTTTTGAATTTTACTTGCCAGATGACCTGACACTGAGTAGAAGAGATCTGAAGAAACTCATCCTGAAAAACTAATTGAATAGTGCACTTACCCTTTTCCGCTTAATATTTTAGGGTATAAAAATCAACTTTTAACATTGTTTTTCATGCCACATTACAAGAAATCAATCATAGTTATTGCATTATTTTTATTAGTGCCGTTAAGTTTAAAAATCCTTATAAGGAAAGATTAGTGTGCAAGTCCATGGAGGGCTTAGACTGTCACTAACAGTTAAGAGCACACAAGCAGGTTATTTGCCCTGTTAGAAAGAAAACGACTGCCATGACTGAAAGATTAAAAGAAACATATACATAAGGACAAATACATGCAAAGGAGTGGCTAGAAAGCTGCAGAATGTAGGATATAAGAAACAGGGCACGAATTCAAGATCCCTTAGATCTTACCTTAAAATTTTGGGTAGAATTTGCAAAAGATTGGAAAACTTGTAGTATTTCCTAACAACATGAAAAGACAATACAATACAAACATAATATAAACCAGGAACAAAAATTATACAGAAAACCAGAGAATCAATGGAGAGGCAACTGTCTATTAACTGCAATAATTAAATGGTACAAATATTTTAAGATGTTTCTGTAACTTCTAATAAGTCAATGCAACTATTTGGCAAATGATATTTTTGTTTTAATTTGGAGTGGCAAAACATACATAGTTTATGAATGCATTTTGAAATAACATTAAACATTTTAGGAGAACTCTGTGGTGGAGAAGTACACAGACTCAGATTTTTTTCTCTGCCAGTATTCCAGTTATGTACGTGTCTCAGAGCCCCTATCACGGTGGTAGCTGGGCTATGCATCTGAGAGCAATGAGGGGTACTTGATATAGTGGAAGAAGGGATGACTGAAAAAACCCTGTAAGTATATTAGAAAAAAAGAGAAACAAATAGATCCATTTTGTGTATTTAAGACTCAGTAATAATTACCCAAGGAATACCTTTTTATTACTGTATTATTGTAATATACAATAGTTACATTGATTTTGGGGAAACTTGATCATTTTCAATTCAAGGAATACCTTAAGGGAAAATTTTTCTTAATTGTTCTTAGTACAGTGAAAAAAAATCACAAACAAAACCAGATGTAAATTCATCTAGGTAATTTAAGGGATGAAAACCACATTAAAACTTGGCTTTCTCTGTGCTGCTTCGGATGAATCTGATATGCTTTTAAAGTTCCTTCTTCACACAGCAACATCCATGTTCACTCATGTTATTTTGAGGTGCTCCTTAGGAGTTTTTGCTTTACTAACTACAGGTAAAGTATTATGGTGGTCAATGTTTGGGCCAGAATCCTACCAAGAAACAAAAAGTGATTCCTAAAACTATTGTTTTTTAAGAAGCTAGGAAAGCTCTCTCAAATGTCCTATTAATTTCATTCAAGAGATTTAGAAAAGAACACTGTGTTTTGTTTTGTTTAATTCTTTCATAAACTGACTGATTTATAAATATTAGTGTAATAACTTTTCCTACTTGAAAACTTCATCTTATGCATCTCTGATATTTGTCTGCTTTAGGCATATTTCTATGTATTTAGAAAAAATTAAATATATATATATGTATTTTTGTTTGTTTGTTTGTTTGTTTTGAGATGTTCTTACTGTGTAGTTCAGGATGGCTTTGTACTCATTGCAATTCTTGCCTTAGACTCTCAAATTCTGGAATTACAGATGTGTGCCACCACACCCAGCTAGAAAATATATTTTAGAAGCTTTGGTTTTTTTTAGTGTTCTCCATTGTAAAATAAAACTACTTCAAACCTCCACTTGAGATCTTAGAAGTAGAAACAGGCAATTATAAAAATTCTTGAAAATTCCATTTATTGTTTTCCATGATGCCATTTCGCCTTATAATTAGTTTTAAATTCAGCAGTGAATCCATCCTTGTATAATAAAAAAACACAATAAGATTTCAAAAATATTAAAATAGACATACCAATTCTTGTTGCAGATAGGGAAACTAGGCATTCGGGCATCTTGGATGAATTATAAAATGGGACACATTTTCTAGGTAAATTTGAAAAATATTTCCAAATGGATTAAAATTATGCATGCCCTTTGGCTTAGGAATTCCATGTCTAAGAAACAATTTTATCAGGCTTTATTGTTTAAAAATATTATTTATAATAAAAATATCAGAAATTTCCAACAATTGTTTGGATAAACTGTTGTACACACATGTGACAGTTCACCTACCCTTTTATACTTCTAATGGAAAAAGATTATAAAATGGTGTGGATACTAAGATGAAATTTTGTTAAAATATTATGTATGTATATAAGCATAGAAGGATATTGGGAATTAACCACTATCACATTAAATATTCCCCCCTGTAGAAGTTTTCCTAGCAGGGAAAGCACAGATAATTTTTCTTCTTTTTCCTCGTTTTTTTTTTTCATTTATATCAAAGAACATCCATCATTTATCATTTGAAAGCTTCAAGTCAAAATTAGATTTTGTCCAATCAAAATAGAACAAGAAAACTCAAGGTCAAATCATGTGATAGTCATAAAATCGCTTCAATCCTCACTGTAGTCAATGGATTTCCCACTATTGCTGTCTTAATCTAGTATATTCATCAGTATCACATTTTTATCACTTATTGTCAAAACTAATCACTTCTTCCAGGAATCACTTTCCCTTTTGGTGACATCTATCCCTCTCTGTTAAAATGCATTCCAATTTATTTTTTTGAAAACAGTATCTATAAAAAGCTGAAGCACCATCACTGAGTGTATCATCAGGAATTAAAGAAAACAGATACCTACATCAGTCTCTTGCCCCTCAGTGCCTGTGCTGTGGATGTCAGGATAATGTTTCAGAAACTGGGCCACATAAGTCATAATGGACTTCTCATCTGGTTTGTCTACATCCACATCTGGAAAAAATAAAGTAAAATATGATTAAACTAATTAGCATTAATTGGGTTTAAACAATACAAGTTTTCAATCTATGTATTGTGAAATACTGTCCTCAGTATAGAATAAAAATAAAATTATTATTAAGACTGTTTGGGGGAGGAGGAAGAATTTAGTCAGGATGAAACTTTTTAAAAGCTTGCAGACTATTTTTTTATGGCCAGGTATCGGTAATGCACATGGCCCACAAACATTGCTTTAGAAGAATATTTGATTTTTTAGTCTCTTCACTGTGCAGCATTCTGTCTGAATTACTGTACTTTTTGAGGGAGAGACTGCCTGAAAAATCTTAGTCATTGTGGTTTTAAAGATATGAATATTCATCTAATAAAATCACTACCATAAGTCAGGAAAAGGAATTTTTTACAGATATAGTAGTTACACAAATGTCAGATACTGTAAATAAGTCCTTAAAATATCCATTTAAACATAATAATAATTGTAACAATTTTCAGAGCACACATACAGCCAAAAGCAAACCGAACAAACCCCAAATGCTATAGTCGAAATATGAAACCATCTTAATATTTTAGAAAGGATCCTTCTGATTAAGCTAGTAAAGTAGTATTTTTAAAATGCTGCAACTCATTTAACTTAAAATGAAACAAAAAATACTGTTTTTGGAATTGTTTAGATGACTTAAATATGATTTTAAAAATAAGGTGATTAGGCTGGGCCTGTGGCACATGCTTGTAATTCCAATGCTAGAGAGGCTGAGGCAGGAGTTCATGAGTTCAAGGCCAGCCTGAACTACATACATAGCAAGACCTTATTTCAAGAAAAAAGAAAAGAAGAGAAATAAAATGATCATTGGTTGATGCTGAAGAAGGAGGTGAAGAATGAATAAAACTCTTTAATGAAATGTGAAAGTGGAAAGGAAACAACACATGACTCAACATACTATGTGCTATTCAATATATATGTGTATAAAGTATAAAATAATTTTTATAATAGTTATGCTCTATTTAATCTGTACCTGTAAACATGTATACATTCAAGTTGGCTAAATAACTTTCAAGAGGGAAATTTTTATTTTGAGGCAACCTCAGTTTCTTGCAATGGCTGTTCAATAACTTTTTGTGCTCCCCTTTCATCCTGCACTAGGAAAAGTCTTGACTCTCTCACATCCTCTCAAGCTGAAGGCTGCGACTTCTGGGCAATTTCTCCCTCTGCTTTGTTGTGAAGAAACAATATAGAAAGGCCTGTACTATGTCAGTGAACATGGAGGGAGCAGAGAAGGATCTTCCTGGGGCAGGGAACCTGCCTGAGTCCTCCCATCCCAGAGGATGCCCACCCAGATTCCATAGCTTTCTCGTGGACGGGTAAGAGTATCTTTTCTGTTTTCAAGCTAGAAATGTTCATTATGAAATCCCATCTTTAAACCAATATTTGTTTTACTGTATATTTACAGTAACACATTTGTTAATAGAGATTTTTGTAACTTCCAACCCGAAAAATAAATCATCACATTTGGAAAATTCCCTTTGGTACTGTTATTTCTTTTATTTTTTTAAATTTTATTTTAAAGAGGGTGAAATTAAACACAACAAAACAATATAAGAAAGCATGTAAGAAACACAAATTTCAAAGCAAGACAACCGGAGATCTTCACTATCCATGATATTGTCTCTTGTTTTCTTCCAAATGGTTGTCCATATCTTCACACATAGTGAATTCATACCAAACAACAGTATAAAACTGATCCAAACAGGATGATGAAGGCATTTTAGGTCTTTCAGACCAGACAAGAAGAAAGTCAACAATGTCTGTCATAGTGTTTCTCATTCTCTTCAAAATAGCTGCCCATACCTTCACATATGATGAAATCAAACAAAACAGACTAAAATCACTCTAAACAGAATAATAGTATTGATGGATTTCACATCATGACTTCACAGAATCAGCACTGGGTAAAGTAGTGTCTCTTTTTCTTCAAAGTAGTTGTTCATTCCATTATGTATTATATATTCAGTTCTCATAAACTGTTTAGAAGCTCTATGCTTGCATGAGTCTCTACATGTGTATCTATCCTTTCTGTATTAGAGGGGAAAACAAAACAAAGCAAGAAAAACCAAAACAAATTCCTAGAAAAACATGAAATGAACAAATCATATGAAACCACAAGACAAGGTGATCTACAATGGTTACTATGATGTCTCTCGTTATCTTCAATAGAATTATCTATATCATCAGGCATAGGATAATTGAACATAGCAGTACATAAAAATATTAATAAAAATAAAACATTGGAGATACTGTAAGACTTCAAAAGCAGGTAATAGTCAAATCAGACTGGGAATTCCTAGTGAATCTTGTCATCTTCAGAGTAGTTGCCTATACTCTCAGACTTAATACTATCAATCATAACAGATTTGAATAAAATCAATCAAGAGAAAACAGCGATCTAACAAATCAGATTCAAATAAGATGAGTCATAATAAGACAGTGTAAGTTATACAAGGCTTCAGATTAAGTTAATAAGACATTAAGGATGGTTACCATAATATATCCTGCTATTTTGGGGATAGCTGTCTGTGTCCTCAAATCTAGTACAAGTAGACAAACTAAAACAGAATATAATCAACGTGGTGGGAATAATGTGTAATTTAAATCCTAATACACTATTAATAATATCCTCTGCCTTCCTTTCTTAGACAGTTCCTCCCCTTTCACTTTCACAGGATGCACTGTACATTTTGGGTCCAACTAACTCCTTTAGTTTATAGATTGGGAGGGCAACCTGTTACTTACCTAAGTGGTTCTGAACCTTTGTAGCCCTGGGATTGATTTTAAGTTGTATTCCTTTATCTACAAAAGCCTCAAGGTTTTCTTTCATTGTAGCTGAGTAGGTAACTCTCTACTGCACAAAAATATCATGTCTTTCCAACCTATCTGTAGGAGCTGCATGAGTTGCCCCTATTTCTTTCTGTTTCCCTGTCACATAGAGCATTGTTTTCTCATATTTGATTTTTGGTCCATAAACTCTCCTCAAGGTTAATTATATTTCCTATACAGAGCATCTCAGTGGACCCTATCTCATGATCTACTCTGCCTGTGTTTCTTTTTGTTAGTTTATCAAGGCCATTTATGTTAGAGATTATAGCCAACCTTCTCTGCCTCATTTCTGCTATGCTATTTTTCTGCCATTGGCTGTCTACTTTTCTCCTTCATTCCACTGTCTGCCCTATTCATTGAGGCCTCTCTGTCACTGTTCCTGAAATTCTGGTGTTTTTTTCTCTCTCTCTAGAATGTCCCTCAGTATTTTTTGTAGGCTTGGACTGGTGGTCATGAACTCCCTCAGTTTCTCTTTGTCATGGAAACATTTTGTTTCATTTCACCATTAATTTTGAGAGACAGTTTTCCAGGGTACATCAATCTGGGTTGGAGGTTATTTTCCTACAGGGCTTGAAATACTTCATTCCAAGCTCTTCTTAATTTGATGGTTTGTGTCAAGAAGTCTGCCATTGGGGCTGGGGATTTAGCTCAGCAGCATAAGTGTCTGCCTTGCAAGTGTGGGGTCGTAAGTTCGATCCCTGGCACCGATAAAAAAGAAAAAAGACAAAAAAAAAAAAGAGAAGTTTGCATGATTTGATAGGTTTTCCTTTATAGGTGATCTCTGATGGCTTTTAATATTTTGTTCTTGTGATGAATTTCTGAGATCTTGATTATTATATGTCTGGGTATAGCTCTGTTTTGGTTGAGGGGGCTGGAGTTCTGTATGCCTCATACATCTGAATATCATTTCTTTTCCTATGCTTAGGAAGTTTTCCTTAATTATTTCTGTGAATAGCCTTTGTATTTCCTTTGTGTTTACCCCTGCTTCTTCGCTCACATTTTTTATTTTTAAGTTATAGATCCTCTTGTCATCTTTTAGTCTTTTTATTTTTACTTGTTTCCTTGTTATTTTTAAGAGATCTTTCCTTTCACAATCACACATTGCAAATCTATCTTCAAGTTTTGTTAATCTTTCTTTAGTTTTTTTCAGGCAATTTTGCCAGCTTTCAATGGGGTTTTTAATTTCCTGGTAATCTCTTTGAATATATTTCATGTATTCCAGGTTTTTTTATATTCTTCATTGAATGTTTCTCTCCTTTTTTGTGTTCCCCATTTTTCTATCTGTGTCTTCTTGAGAGGTGCCATTTCTTTTATTACTCTTCTTATATCTTGCTTTACTTGTATTAATATTTCAGTTTTGAGATCATCTATAATGTCACAGTGATATTTCTTTATGTAAGCTGATGTTGTGTCTGATATTGCATGTTTGCTGCCCTCAGTTTCTTCTGTATTTACCTCTCCTGAACTGATATTTCCTGGGTTGGGGGCTGGAAGCTCTTTCTTATTTCTGTCTCTTGTCATGTTTCTGGTTTCTTCCATACAGGTGAATGGTGGAGGTCCCAGTCCATTTCCTTGTTATTTATGGTTCTTCTGAAGCATGCTGACTAGAGATTTCTGCCCTCTCCAGTTTGCTGTTGGTCATTGAGATGTAAGCAGGGACAGTGTAGCCTGGACCCTCCTCTCTAAGCCAGTCAACCAGCTGGGGCCTTCACTACATTAGTGTTTGCCATGTGGACAGAACTTGGTCAGGACAACTTCGGGGACAGTTCCTTGGCTATTGGGTCCCAGCCAGGGATGTAATCCAGACCAAGCAGATCCCACCAATCTGCTGTGTGCAGGGAGCAACCAACTGAAGTCACTGCTATTCCTTGTTCATGTCCATCCTGTGCAATACCAATATGTCATCTGGTTGGTCACCCCTTTTCCATGGGAGGGTCAAATTCCAAGCACTCACTGCAAGTGGGTTAGTGCAGGTCTCCATGCCAGCTCTGTTCTCTGTTGGGCTCACCAACCCCGGACCTCAGCGCGACTGTTGCTCCAGCAGCGAGAGCGCCACAATTGCGAGCTGAGTAGCTCCAGCAAGAGCACCATGACCTAGAGTCTAACAGGCTCCTGTGGGAGCACCACAACTGTGAGGTTGACCGCTCCTTTCCCTTTAGTTTCTTCCTGGGTTGAGAGGATTCATCTCCCTCCTTCTGGTTTTCTCCATGATGGTTTTTTCCAGCATCTGAGCTGTTTCTCTCAGAGACACATCCTGTTTTGCTGCTTACTGATCCACCATATTTAGCTCCTGGTACTTTTATTTCAAAGTAGCAAATGAATTTATAAAAGTCATTGGAATTGCCTTTTGAAGGTTTGAAAGAGGTAACTCTATTTCTAGGTCTTAAAATTCACAACCTTACCAAAAATGTGGCAAACAATCAGAATGAAAAATGTTAGTGAGTCATTTGGCTTGTTAGGATGACAGAAACCCAAACACTGGAAGGCTTACCAGCATTTTAAAGATTTGATTCAAGATCATATCTTCAGAAGCACAGAGTAATCACCTTACCCTTTCTTACACCTTGCTTCCATACACACACTTCTAAAGCTTTTACCCCAGACTTAAGTGTATGAACCCAGATCCCCAATTGCAGCACTGATGCTGCAGAACAGTCATCATGTATTGCTCCCAAATTTATACAGAAGAAAACTGGTACAGAAAGATATTATTTCTTCTCATTTTTCTTCAGCTTTCTGTCCCCTTATTCTGAATTTTCATCCATACAAATGTACTGTGGGGAAGTGATGGTTTGCTCTCTCTGAATGACTATTCAACATACCTTCAGGATCCAGCAACCTTGGGATGCCCAATTGTGTTTCTGCAATAGCAAAAGCATCCTCCAGATTTTCTCTGTTAGATCTGCCTTTCACCTTCTCCAAGTCCACCAGCGTGGGTTGAATGGCATGGATAACGAAATGAAAGGCAACCCCATTCCTCCAGCTTCGTCCAAAATCTTTTACTTCTATTCCAGTCTGCCTAGTGTGACAAACACAGGAAACAATGTCACATTCTTAACATATGCAAGCACTTTCTTCAGGGTCTTATGCAAAACTCAGTGCATTTCACCCATATCAGTTCACTGGTATCTGAGGAAAATTAAGCAAAATTTTTAATATGATGAAGAAATACTTCGAGTTTTCTATGTGAGATTTTTTGGTAATTAACATGATTCATTTAAAGCATATTTTTACACTTATTTTTAAAAGGAAAACCAATCTAGAGGAAATTGGGACAAAATTTTAAAAAGGGAAAACTTCAAAAATACCAAAAGTGGTAGTAATTGCATATTTTTTGAAAAATATCTAAAAATTTCTAATGATAAGCAGCAGTGTGTCATATAGCTATGTATCACAGACTAAGACAATGTAGCTAAGTCATCTAGAGTGAATATAATTATACACAGAAGATATAAAGGAGCTATACTTCATATAAGTCTAGACAGTAACTTCAACTTCCTCATTTTATTTTAAAACTTTCCTTTGGAATTGCCTTAAGAACAAACTTCTAGTGGTGAATTCTTATTCTTTAATACATAGTGGACTTGATTAATTCAAAGTCAATTAAAATTAAAGTGGTTTAAGCTAATATTTTTGTTGAAAACAGAAATGAAGCAAGCTCACAATGTGTTTTTTCTACTTATAATTTAACATTTATACAGGTAGTTACAAAAAGAGAGTTATAAAGATGATGCTTTGCACATTAGCAACTCCTTGTGGTTAAATGTAGAACTTGTAAATGTTATCATTTAGGTAGATAAATAAAATAACATGACAGTTTCTTTTAAAAGTTAGTTTCAGTAACTTTACATTAATTTCTATACAAAGTAAAATCACTGAATTAGTTTTTATACAGCCTCAAAATTTTCATGAAAATTACAATCTAATTGATATCTTACTTAATAAGTTAGTAAGTGTCCTTAAATGTACCTCAGCAATCTGAAGGTTCACTTTAAAACAGGTTTACCAATGCACAATATTGTATGCCTAATGTAAGTACAAGTGGACTTAATCATTGGCTTCGTAAATACTCTAACGACAATTTTATAAGGTTCTAATAACTCTAAAGTAATCTTAACTTCTCTCTTGGTTTCTTCGAGGCTTCTATATCTGGTAGCATGACTGACATCTGATATTCATGTGGGTTGAATAGCCTATCCTTGTTATGTCTTAGTTTTCTATTCCTATAAGCTTTTCATCTTATTTTCCTATCTATATTTTTCCTTTGCTCACAGTTCCTCATTCAGAATGTTTCTGTTTCTCTAAGCCAGTTCAAACTAGTTTTTAACCAAATAAACAGGGCATAAGTAAATTAAGCAGCTAATCAACACTATAAGACTAGATATTTTCTGATTTTCTAGAGCTTGTTTATTGTTTTAGGTATTTTTGAAGAAATGTATATAAAATGTTTCCCAAATAATTGCTAGCTTAAAAAAAACGAAAATTTTTCGGATCATTTTCTCTCCTCTATATTTGTAGAAAATGTATGCATATACACATATAAGGATAGACACAGTTTATTGTTACGTTAAATTAGGAGGAAATATTTCTGAAAACTTTCAGTTCAAATTTCTCATTTAAGAATATTCTCTTCCATAGAAACTAAAAGAAAACTCAAATATATCACTTTAAATAAAGGAGCACATGAGAGATGTATATTTCACAGGCATTTCTAATCTCTACTTATTTGCCTCTGTTTAATTTAAATTATTAGAAGGAATGTGGAAACATATTTGTTATTTGGTAGTTTTAGTAATTTATGTCCTAAAATACAGTCATTCTTCTTTCACAGTTGACAATAGGTATGCAGACACTACAACCAAATGCTTTTATTTCTAAGAATATGCACTGCACTGTTGGTGCATGAAATTAGTTTAAAAATGCAGAGGGCTTATCTATATAGTATTGCTAACAGTTTTTAAAATTTACTTTTAAAATAGTTGTAAGTTTTCTCTGAAGATAGTGAGGACTTTCTGGAAACTACATCAGTGTTTGCACTTCCCAACACCTGAAGTCTTGTGAAGGTGATGAGCCACAGTGCAGTTCCACAGGAGACAATAATTTTAGGGACAATGTCATCCAAGAACTTAAGTGGATATAGATCTAAAGTCTTCAATCCACATTAGATAAAAAGTTTCCTGAAAATTACAGCGTGAAGTAGCTATAAAGGCAGCTTGCACAAAAAGCATCAGCCCTTTGGTAGCATGATGATACTCTGCATTCTTATGTAGTTCTCACAGCAGGAAAATGTCACCTCCCCAAACCTCCACAGTTTGTGCAGCCAACAGAGCAACTGGTGTTACTGATGTATTGATTGGTACATACTGGTCAGGTTTGTGATGCTAGACATTTATATCAATAGGAAAAAGCAATTTTCACTGACTTTGCAAATATACGTGATGTGAGAGTGACTTTCACCAGATCCCTGTATATCTCAGAAACCCAACAGAGCATGTGTGAATAAATTAAACACAGGACAACTCCAACAGAGTCAAATGTGAATTTATCTCAAGCTACTAAATTACTATTTTAGGTTAATTTAATACTGAATGGAGCCATGAATAACAGAATATCCCCTGGACCTTATGAAAATATTTGATGGGACTAGCATCATGACACATATCAGCATGCAGACCAGTGTTCTCCCCAGCCATTTCTTCTCCCTGGCCTGTTAAATTGCCAGGGAGATTAATAATGTCCAAAGGTATTGCAATCAAATAGTGCATTAGCAATGTGGCATGGATTTTTAAAATTTAATTGCTGCTATAGAATCTAAGACTCACAAAGTTTTGCTCTAAGCAGCGTTTTTTACTACACATTGAATCATAACTGTATACCCCAAAGTAGAACCCCATTAACATCCTTAAAAAGCTAGCAAAACTACATAAATTAGGAACACTAATTACATCTTCTATGTGTTTAGCTTTTTATCTCTTTGCTTTTCTCTTCAAACACTTTAAAAATAGGACTCTTTCTGTTTAGTGCCTCAATATTTTATAAGCAATTGTTTTCTACTATTTTCTCAATGTAAATCATCAGTGAGTTAACTTTACAGGTTGTCCAGGAAAGTTAAACAAAAGTTCATCTTCGATGATAAGCTATTTGTCTCTGAGCACATCAGACAGCAACATATGGGTAAAAATCAACTGAAAACTCCCCTGAAATCTGTTGCTAAGATAAGATACTTTTTGAGAGTAGCAGTGTCTAACCACTTGTAATAACAAAAATGTATACTCGCGCAAATTCATTTTTTCATTTTAAAATGAAAAAAGAAAACAATGATACAGAATTTCAAAACAAAATAATAGGAGATTAACAATGGTTAAGATATTGTGTATTGTTATCTTCAAAGTAGTTGCTCAGATTACAAGATACAGGCTTAAAAACATGATCAAAAAATGAAAGTACATAGTTTCCAATGCATGAAAGTAGAGTTCACAATGGCTCCTATTTTTAAAAATAAAACCAAAGTAAAAACTTTTAAAAATAAATTGATAGAACTTTTCAGGAAATAAAAATAAATACAATTGTTTCAGAATGTGGACTTTGGCTTACATATGCATCACTTGATAGTCTTATAAAAAACAAATTTAAACATAAAATTTATCTGTGTAAAGATTATTTAATAGGAACAGAATCTCTAAATAATGATCTTATTATAATTAATTCTCATGGTATCAATCAAAAGTGAAGATTTAATCAATTTAATTAGGCACAATCACATGAATTTTCTTAGATCAAGTGTTAGTGGTTTCATGTTTATATTTAATTCAAGACGAGTGAAAGAAATTCTAAGGCAAAGAGATTCATTCAAATTTTTCTTCAAACTCTGCAATCGTTGGAAGGTGTGATATCTAATAAACAAACTGAAAGCTAAAATCACAACAGGCTTTCAAATTTAAATACACGGTTGGTACTTACTTGCCTACTGCACACTGAACCCATTTTAACAGCGCCTTCTTGGCATTTCCTTGGATCTTGGTGGCCACCTTGCGTTTAGTTGGTGGACTGGTCGTCTCTGAGCTGACAACGCTGTCCAGGGAGGATGCGCTGCTGGACAAAGACTGCAGCTGTGGCAGGTTGCTGGTCAGCTCTTCAATCTGTGTTTGAGTTAACAGCCAGGGGAAACATCAGAGTTACTTTTGTTCTTTCCTCAGAGAGCTTACTCTTCTAACTAAAATTGATTTAAGGTCCTTAACACCCCTGACAAAATGGTGAGTCTTATTCCTTTTTAACTTCCAACCACACTTCCAACTGTATCTGACAAATAATAGCAAGTATTTGTTGAACACACTAAGGAATTAAGCTGTGGACTGGGTATGTTTTGCATTTGTGACTAGAAGGGTTCACAGGTTGGAAGATTGGGGTTCTGTGTGGTGATGTTGGGAGATATTGGACCTTTAAGAGATGAAATCTAATAGGAAGGCATTGGAGGAGCTCCCTAGGAAGGAATTGATATATTTTTCTTTATTTTTTATTGATTGATTCTCATGAAAGGGTTATTATAAAAGAGCAAGCCTAGCACTTCCCTAGTCTCTCTACTTCCTGGCTCTCTACATGTCCTCTCCAACTTGTGTACATTCTTGCCAGGATGCATTTTGCCATGGTAGAATGCAGCTAGGGGGATCCCCACCAAAGGTGGCTCACACTGTTGGAACTTTAAGTGTGCAAAACTGGGATTCTCCATCGACATTTTGTTTGTAAGTTACCCAGCCTTTTTACTTTGTTGTAGCAATGGGAAATAGAATAATACCATTAATAAAATAAAACCTAATAGTTATAGAGTTTTTTTCTGGCAAATTATCTTCCTGTCATGTCTAAAAGCACCCTAGAATTGCTCTTTGCCAGAGGAAAAATATTCCTTAGCTCCTTGTATTTCATCTTCACTACATTTCATCTTTATTGTGACACGCTCACTTTTCAGATACAATATCTATGCTGGAGTTCTTTGTGGTGGAGGGTTTCATATATAGCACTCTTGCATAGGAAACAGAATTCTTACGTTAGCAAAATCCTATGAATGGATGAGGGTCTCTTTTCTGTTAAACTGAAGATCATGTAAAATATATGGCAAGGGATATAATACCTATTTGTCTCTCTCTCTCTGTCCAGGATGTTACATCAACTAAAACAAAGAAGAAGAAGTACAGTACTGTACCTGGAAATACAGAATAATGGTCCACATCAGGCCAAGAACAATGGATGGCCGGCCATCAGCTATGTCAGTGGAGTTAATATTGACTAACTTGATCTGTGTAAAAAGAAAAGCTAGAAAGTTTTAATGGATGTACTAGGATGTTATAATGCATTTAATTACACAATGATTGGGTCTTTATTAGATATCAATAAGATCTGTTCATGCCTGTGTAACAATGCACAAAGTCAGTAGTGTGAATCAATACAACAAACAAGCACGTGGTTCAATGAACATTTCAAGGGTGTTTGTTAGGTGTACAAAGTAAAAACAGCTCAAAGGTGGACTTAAAAACTGCTTTTGTCAAAAGTATACAACATCATGCAGGGATTACCAAAAAAATGAAAAATAGCAGTTAATTTTTACATTTAGAGGCTGACTGGGACTTGAACTGTAGTGAGTAGTTTAAGAAGGTACACTTACTTTGAAGTTTGCTACCAAATAGCATGAAACTTGTGTTCTCTGTTACGTATAAAAATCAGGAGTTAAAAATTCTAAAATTTGTACTAACCGGTGATCCTCTGTACATGGACTGACATGAAAAACAAAGGGAGAAGGTGATATGCATAAATATTCTTTCAAATCAGCATTATTTGTTAAAAGTAAATAAGAAGGTAGAAAACTCAAAGCATGACTTTGGGACTATACTTTAAAGAAGAACCAAAGAAAGTCAACACAGAATAGAAAAAGGCTATTAGCATTTAGTTCCTAATTTTTGGCAACAAAAACTATAAAGTATTCAGGATCACCTGTCCATAATTGTCCCTAAGCATTCATTTTGATGTTTCCCCCAAATTAAAATTATACCTAAGCTCTTTGACAATCTGTATAGCATGCAATCAACAACTAACAGCTTGTCATACGTTTTCATAATCTCCAGAGAAATTAGAAAGAAGATAATGAAATCCTCCTTAAACTTTTAGCTCAATAAGTCTCAGCAAGGTTTCATGAAGTGTGTTCTTAATAGTTAGTAACGATCAAAAATTTGCAGATGGTTTACTTTTAAAAATATCTGCTAGAGATCAAAGTGTATTATTTCTTTCCTTAGTAAATGTAATACTAAAAATGTGGTTTCTGTACTTATTTTTTAACTTAGCATTCTGTGAAAGTGAACCTCGTGAAATTCAAGTCTTCCTTGAAAAAAATGTCTTTATAAGCAATGCCTTCCATAGGTTGTCACAGAATAATCCAGCACAATGTTAACGAGAGAAAATTTATTTTTATTTTTTAGCTAACAAAAGTTCCTCAGAATGACTGAAGTCACTATTGTGACACAGCTTAAACAGGAGACTGAATGTCCTGAAAGCCTCTAATATCCTGTTCAGTAAGACTTCATTCTGTTTTCTATGAAAAACTAACAGAGGAGCAATAACGGAAACATGGCAATAAGAAACAAACCAGAGTGATCTGAAAACACTGCTCAATGCTGTATGAGAATCTAAGATTATTTTTCTACATTGTCTTATTGCCTGAAATCTCTTTTAGGATTCATAAATCAGTAAAGTTTATGGTGATTCACTGCATTATCAATTTACCAAAACCTCATTACTTAAGGACCAGAGTCTAGGTCTTCTTTGAGTTCTTGTCGTAAAATGTATTCAGTTCCACAGGTTTGGTGCATGCAGACTGAGAAAAAAATCACTGAATTTTTCTATTATCCAAAAGTTATGTGGACATTCTTCTATAAAGTGGGATTTAGTGTTTGCCAACTAGTGAAGCCATTCTAAAATCCTCCAGATTAGAAAAGGTTGAAGCTAAGAGAATTATGTAGCCCTTTCAGAAGTAAATATGACAATATCCAGCAAAATTACACTCACAGTTACTTTTTGAACACACATACCACACTTCTGGGAATTTATCTAAAAACTCTGAAAACATTGTTTCACCTCTAGTCATGTGACAATACTTATGCATATAGTTATTAAATGCATCATGATTTCTGTTTGACAAATACTAGAAACAATTTAAATTTCCACTTGTAAGAGCAGCTGGGCAAATTGTGGCACATCAAGTCAATGGAACACTATGCAACTGTAAAAATGAAAAGTGGAATCTTTATTAACTGATTTGGGGTGGTTTCTAAAATAAGTTTCTTAACTGAAACAGAATTGAAATACTCCTATAGAATGCTACTCTTCATGTACGAAAAAAGGGGATATATGAAAACACACCTCACTTATAAAAAGGAACACAGAAAAGATGTCAGAAACTAGAGATACCTATTACAGAGAAAAAAATGGAAATTGAAGCAAGAGAATGAAAAGAGAGAGAAAAGAGGGGAGAATTATCAGCACTCTTTTATTCTTAGAAACATGGCAGAGTTTCATCCTCAAAATGAATAAAGTCAACCAGCCCCGCCCTCTGTAGGGTACAAGATGGGATGCAAAGAAAAATAAATGGACTTAACACTATCACAAATGAATGAGATAAACACACCATAGTACAGGGAAGAATGGAGCTAAGCTCAGCACTTTCAGAAAACAGTCTGCTGATTGGGTACATCAAGGTTGAAGAAAAAAAAGAAGTGTATATAAATACTGCTCTCCAGTTAGTAAATCTGTTTCTTACAGGCACACGATTAGAACTGCTGAAAGCTATCTTAATTGTATACAGTATCAGGCTAAAAGATTAAGTGGAAATATTATAGATTGAAAATTGTCATAGAAATTAAAAACAAATAAGGAGATGCTGAGCAGAAGCCTGCATCATGTTTTTGTATTTTTTATTCTACAGACTTCTACCTTTTAAAAGTCATTTATTTTGAGTATGTTGTTAAAGCCCCAGAAAACACTAAGACGATGCCTTTCTGAGTGATCAGAGTACATCGCCAGTAATATCAGAATCCTGTACCCACTAATACATTACACAGAGAAAAGTAGAGTAAGTATCACAATGTCTAACTTCAATCCAATCATCACAAAACATTCTGCAAAAATAATAGAACAGCACTATTGAAAAGGTGAAAAGTCACAAAAGATTTTTAAAAAATGAGAACCTGCCATAGAATGAAGAGACAACTAAATGCCCAACGTGATACTGGGTAGGATCCTGGCATAGAAACAAAACAATTCAGGGAAGCTGACAGCATTAAACTAATGTGCATGCCTCAGTTCACACATCACTACCAATTTTAATTTTTAATGTTTTTGTTGTTGTTTGTTTGTTTGGTACCAGGGACTGAACTCATGACCTCACACTTGCCAGGCAGGGGCTTATGCCACTAAGCTGTCCCCAGTCCTTTTAATGAATTTTTAAATTTTACTTACAATATTATGGTTGTGCAAATTCTCAACATTAGGGGAAGATGACTGAAGTGTGCATGTGAATTTTCTTTTGTAAATCTACAGTTATTGTACAAAGATATTGGATCTCTAATCTGTTTAAACAGCATGCATTTTTCACCCCACATCAGACCCTGGAGCATCAGTGTCCTCAGGCTCGCTTTCTTCTGCCATGGTTCCGATTTCTCTCACCTTTCTCCCTTCCAGGAAGCTGAGCGCCCTGCCGATGTTAGCCACGGCGTGAATTCGCTTCATGCGGCGCCCTTGCTCACAGGGCTATGGAAAGAGAAAGAGCAGGAAACACAAAAATACTACATTAAAAAGCAGCTATCAGAGCTGTTCAAAGAGATTAAAAACACAAAGAATATTCAAAAGTGACTTGTTTTACTCAGTTTCCATAGGTTAGCAAATACAGAGGGTGATCAAAACATACAGCAACTGTCTAAAATGTTTTTTTAAAAAATATCTTATTACAGTTAAAGATACACGGATAGGACAAAATGAATGATGGGACAAAAGAATATTCAAAGCAAAGAGACTGTTTTTAATGTTTTGAGGGAAATTACAGACAAGGTGTCTTTAACTGTAAATAGTTTTTAAAATTTAAATGTTCACTGTATTCTATGATAATCCTCATTGATCAAACATTTACAATTTCTGTCAAATAAAACCTTATTGTGCATCCTCATTCACCTTATTCACCACGTTTGATACCAGGCAATTTCTGACCTTCTCAGAATCAAAAAGATTATGAAAATTAAACATTTTGAATCAATTCAAGCATCAGGGGAGCCACAACGGCTCAACTAAAGATACAAAAGATTTCCAGAACTGCTTCAGACAACGCGATACTGATAAAATAAATGTATGTGATGTGAGAAGATGCATCTTGAGTGTCATTTATGGCAAAGTATCCTTTGCTTTAATAAGTCTTTTAAAAAGTTAAACATTTCCATGTTTTTGGTCATGCCAACACATAAACAACTGTTATCTTTACGGTAGTCTGAAAATGTGTGATGTGTAAACTTACTGAAAAAAAATACAGCAAAAAGAAAGAGATGATCATTTTCACCCTACCTGTTAATGCAGTTGACCTGTAGACTTATACACACCTAACAGCATAAATTCACCAAACTTCTACTGCTCTATTGATTGTGTATTTTAGGAAGTACTTACATGATGAGTACTCTCAGTGACTCACCATTTTTCCCAAGTGATATAAACAAACAAGAATACTGACAGCATTAATAACATTTTTGGTTTGACTGACTAAGCTACAGACAGCATATGCACGGCGTTTAAGAATATAACCACGAGAATAAAAATGTTGCTCACAACAGTGTTTCTGGTGGGTGCATACTCTGTGCTTATGCTACCAAAAATTATTATATGGTTTCTCTGTGCCACATTGGAGAACTGAAAACTCAAAATAATTTCAAGGCAGTAGATACTATTGACCTTACATTCACAGAAACTGAAGTTTGGTAGCTTTTCTCAGGTGCAAAGCTGGAAAACTGGTCTCACCTCTGTGTCCCTAGAGTGCTAAATAATTTCCCAATAAAATTCAAAAGCAAGTACATTTTAATTGCCAGTTAATATTATGTTAGCAATAACTTTAACATATGTTTTAAAGCAAATACTCAAATCGAAGGTATGTTTTAAAATTTTTTATTTATTCTTTCCTGGAAACTCTGTATACATGATAGTCTCATTACTGATCCACGTACAGCTCACTTACTTAGTTTATTTAGCAAATTACCTTTTATAATGTGAAATTACCCCATGAATCCTCCAACTAAAACAAAGCCAAGATCTACAATTAAGTATGAGAGCCAGATAGCCCTCTATTCCACCAATATCAGTTCTGTCCTCTTGTTTTCCAGTGTCTATGGAAACCATCACAGTAAATGTAGTCCATCATTTTCCATTCCATATAAATTCATTTAATTTTCATGCCTTCTTAAAAATATTTATTTGAGTTCTAATTTCATTCCGGGTAAAATGTAATAATCATTGAATATATTTTTCCACACATCATTACAATGCTGAGGATCATCTGTATGTTAACTTTCACTGCATTTAATTATTTTGACAGTTCTACAATGTAACCCTGAATAAACTCTCCTTCTGATGTCAACATGTGTTATTTCTTGGCTATTGCTGTGGTGACTTATACAGACTGATGCATATTTTACCTCTCAAATTCCACATCATTGGTACAATTCTCTTTAGCAAGATAACTGCTCAGTCAAGGGAATATAATCTTTGAAATTGCACAGAAATGCCAAATTTCAAAAAGTGGTTGCACTATTTTTTACGGCAGGCAGCATTGAGAAAATAATACTGCTGATCCAAATCCACACCCACATTTGATTTTGACAGTTACTTATGTGTGTAAGAGGATATAAGGTAGCACCTTATCCACAATACAGATTCCGGAAGTATTAGCTGGGTGATCAGTTTGCAACACCAAAGCACACCTTGGAATTGAGATCTACTCTCAATATGTGAACATGACTAACAAAGTCACCCAATGACCCTTTGCATGGTCAAGATTTCCTAACAGTGTTCATTTTGTTTCTTAGTGTGCTATTAGGTGTTTCTGGAATGCAAAGTATTAAAGAATATGTTAAAACCATCCTGAACAGGTTAGCAAAATAAATAAGAAATAAATTCCTCGACAGTCTTTGATCTCTATTCATATTGTTTCCATAGTTTCTATTTTTTTCCAATGGCAATTACTCACTTTCTCAAAAAAAAATTCTAAACAATTAAATTTAGAGTTTCAATGTTTCTGTGCAACTACAAACATGTAATCACTGATCCATTTAGAAAGCAAATGTTCTATAATTAATATCTAATGGATGTAGAGAAATTCAAGAACAATAACTTTAAGTTTTTAAAATTCCAGAAGGCGGGCTGGGGACGTAGCTCAGCTGCACAGCACCCACCTGGCAGGAGCAAGGTCATGCGTTCGATTCCCGGTACCAAAAAACAAAACAAAACAAAATTCTAGAAGACATAAATAAAATCATAGACAGGAGAGTAACCACAGGTTACTAAAAGGGTCTGGGATATTGAAATTCCACTACTCACATGCAGGCAGAATTTGGGACACCATCATTTGACTGCAGTTCCAAAGTGACTGCGGTCAAAGTCAGAGGCCTGAACTATGTGAGCTGTGACATTAACTATTGTTCTCTTTGTAATAGTGCTGTATCCGGTGGATAATTATGAAATTCCTGTCCAAGCTAACACACCTGAGTGCTGTGCTTTTGCTTGCATTGTCCCACTGAAAAGCCCTAAAAGGTTTTCATTTTGGTTGTGCATTCCTAATTTACATCATGCTCTTCATATCTCTGTACCCTAACCATAAACGTATGTAGAAAATTTAAATCACCATCACCAAAACATATTTACAATTTCAGAATAGTTTCATTTATGTAATTTGGAACGGTAAAGATATCAATAAATAATAATAGTGAAATCAGAAACTGTCCTACCTTTCAATTTCTCTATCTGTTCCTGAGAATGCTAGCTCTTTCTGAAATTCTTTGTAGCTTTAAAGTTTCATAATTCTGACTATGTCTGAATGAATATAACATTGTTTGGTCAAAATGTATTTATTTCTAGAATACCTTAGCTTGATAGTTACAGTCCACCTAGATTTTTCTGTATAGATTTCTGGCCAACTATAATGCAGAATTATATTTGACACTTGGAATGACGTGCGGTTTTTGAATACCCATATGAACTCCTTCAACTTGCAGGTAAATAAATAGCTTAATTCAGGAGGATTTGGAAGATGGCTACTTATATCAGGCAATCAAGCAAGGATATATTTTGATTTAATGATTCTCATATCTTAGTACTGATTCATTCATTTAATAGACACACACACATAAACGCATACATATATATGCCTATATATTATGCCTATGTGTTCCAAACAGGCTGTTCATATGTGTTCTGTTGGTTCTTGCCAAAACAGGATTTAACACGAGGACTTGGGTGCATGTATTTATTGGGGAGCTGATGTAAGGTAGTAAGATAAGGTCCTGTAGAAAGGGAAACCAGGAGGGGGAAAAACAATCAATTAAAATATGTGCTTCTAGATGGCACTGCTGTGGAGAGTAGACCTCAGTCCTCCTGGGGCCACTGCACAGAACTCCCTGAGACGTGTAAAACATGTTGCAGAGCTGTCTTTTCTAAACATCTAAGGCTGCAACACTCATTTGTGGACTCCCATCTCCATTGGTTGAGGGATTTTTGGAGCCATTAACTCCTATACACTTTATGGCTGATGTGTCAGTTTGTCCCTTTGATAAAAAGAGATGCTTCCGGAGAAAGGCTGACAGTTCTAGGAGGGAAATCATGTCAAAGTGCATGGGAATGTCTGCCACTGACACAGCTGAAATTAGAGGTGAGCTGAGATGGGCCAAGGGCCTCCAAAGGCACTTCTGCAATATGAGTCTAGTGAGATAAATGGATTACCCAAAATCCATATCAATTTGTACTTTCCAACATACAACAACTCTTTTACAAACGTTACTTTGAGGCCTCCCTGCCCAAAAATAACTAGAAAGTTACGCTAAGGCAAAAACGTTTCAAAACTCAATTATCCAAGTACAGTGATTGCCAAGATATAAATAAATAAAAAGTACTACCAATTTTAGACTTCGTGTCTGGTGTATTAAATAGTATTTTGAAGGTCATTTCCTGAACTATTTTTTTCAATTATAGGACACATTAATTTATAAATAATTTATGCTTTAAAACTACTTACTCTCCTCCAGAATTAAAAGACAGAAGCAAAAAAAAATACTTAAATGTTTAATAATATACTGAAGAAAATACTTGATAGTTTATTGTCAATGTTGTTTTTCATTCTGTTAGCTCCGTAGCATAGAAAAAACTGAGCGTGCTGTTCTCACTACAAACGATGACGCAGGGTGTCAACAAGAGCATGAAAAATATCACATCAGTTTCAACCTTAATTTTTAACAACTACAAAATGCACAGATATGGACTAGCAACCCTAAAGTGTAGCTAGTTTGCACTGATTGGTTAGCTAATCAACTAGTTGCATCAGTTTGCAGCTAATTTTCTTAGATATCATTGCAGATGCAACAGTTAGCTATGTCAGGTTCCTGACAAGTTCTTTCTTGTTACTGCATGGGTTGCTTCTACAAATGTGATATTGTTTTCACACGTGATATACTGTTTCCAGTATATTATCAACTGTAAAAAGAAAAAAACTGCCAAGCCTGGTGGCACACAACTGTAATCCCAACACTTGGGAGGTTGGCTGAGGTGGGAGAATTGCTGTGAGTTCAAGGCTAGCCTGGACTATCTAGGGGGATCCTGTCTCAAAAAAACAAAACAAAACAACCAAAGAAAAAAGGGCTTTCTTCCATGTGGGCTGCACCCTTTACACTCCCGATTTTAAGGTCCCAGATTCTGAATGTAAACCATTTGACAAAGACGGTCTGGAAAAATCCTTACCAGTTTCTGCCCAGACAGAACTTCCAGAAGAGCCAGCAGTTTGACACCATCTTTCATATCTTCAAAAAGATCATCAACCACCATCGGGGGCTTCCTCTGTAAAATAAAAATGCTTGTATGTGGTGAAATGTCTAATTTCTATGAGCAATTTCCATCCCTTCCCCAGTCTTTTTTTTGGTGGGACCCACAACTTTACACACGCTAACCACAAACTCCTCCATGTAGCTGTGGCCCAAGCCATTTAGTTATTTATTTTGGATAGTATGTACTTTGGATATATCTTTTCATAACTTCTAGAGGAAAAAATACAGTGGAAATACAGCTTAATATTCAGACAGCTCATAAGATTTAGTGCTTACACAGCTTATTTCTAAAATGAGATTATTTTAACAAGGGTGAGATGGTATAAAATAAGGGAAGGACAAAGGGCACCATCAAACTAAAAAAATAGAGAGAGAGAAATTAAAGCTGACCTGAAAGGACAGCAGGAGATGCACCATATAAACTGGACTAAGGTTACTACTTCATGTGAGCAAACTACATCACGGGGCTTAGCAAGGCACAGCCTTTCTGGAGGACATTTCCACAGAACCAACCTCATTAGCTCAGGGACCTGCTATGTGAGTGCTGTTCGCATGACCAAGGTCCCGGACTCAACATTCCCAGAGGTGGGCGGGCTGACTGTGGTCTTTTTCAATGACAAGTACATCTAGCAAACCACTTGGGACTACACTGATCTCAAAGAAGCATAAGCATAGGACGAGATAATCAGTGCAAACCCATTCCCACTCCTAGAAAAATGGCTCCTGCCCAATACATGGGGTCTGTCAATTTTTAATGAAGTTGACAAATGTTCAATGTACTAGAGTCCATAAGACCTTGAATTAAAGTCTATCCTGTCTTAGAAGAAAATAAAGAAGTGATGCTAACACTGATGTTCCTTAGAAGGGCGGTGCTTACCGATTTGTTCCCATTTATTATTTGATTTCAAGCTTCATGCTTCTCTGGCTCTTGCTAAACATTGTTAAAAGTGTTAGTGCTTGACCACTGACCTTTAGTTGTCTTTTAGTTTAGAAAAATAAATACTAGGTAGGGATATTCAGACACCAAACATTTTGTTGAAATTGACTTTTTCTCTACCCACTGATAGGGAGCATTTATATTTATCTTATGGTTGCATGAATTATGTACTTCAAATGGTACCATTCTAATTTTAAATGTATTTTCCTCTCTTTATAAAATGAACAGCTGAACACATTTTGTTCTCGTGCTGTAAAGTACATGTTCAAAAATAACAGTTTTCAGCTTCACTCATTTTCTTGAATCCCCTCCATTCACAGTGCTTCTTATTTACATAGCAAAAATGTAATAGCGACTTTCTATTCTAAGAATTAAATAAAATTATTTAGAATAAAAGGAGCCATGACAGTGAAAACTATTTGGTGACAAGAATCAAAATCATTGTATTAACTGTATGTAGTCATTAACGATCTATTCGTCATGCAAAGTGTCACTTGTATACTAATATTTTAAATAAAACAAGGAAATATATGTAACGTTCCACGAGGAATTACAAATGTTTCTCATGTGACATTAATATGAATATATGAGTAAAGTTAAAGGGTACACCCCTCAAGTAACAAAGATTCCAAGACTTGGACATGAAAAGGAGGCTAAATTGCTTGCATTTGTCCATTCCACTATGATGCACACACAGATCTCAGCTGCTTTGAAAAGCATTTTCTCTTGGCCCTAGTTTCCCCTCCCACTTTTTTCTTCTCATTTTTCCCCTTGGTTTTGGTCTGCACCACATTCCACAGAGCTTCTCTCCCTACCCCAGATCAGCACAGATCACTGGATAAGTCAGTAGTTCATTAGCCTCTGCATGGGTCACTGCAAGAACCATTCTCACCCTGACCTGTTCCCCCCAAACCCCTGGAGCCAGGGTGCTTAGTTCACACGCCCCCACTTTATCTCTCTGTGGATCCCTCTACTCTGCCCATCTGTCTGTTGATATTGATCTATCATCTATCTCTATCTAACTGTATCATCTCTTTTGTTTTCCCCTAACTTTGGCCACTCATGAAATTTATTCCTGAGCACTTTAAGTAAAACAAGGAAAAATATGAAATATTTCATGAAGATTGCAAATTCCTCATGATACAAACACAGATACAAACGCAGCATCAATGTGACTACTTTGGTTGGACTTGTATCATAGAGCTAGAGGCCAGTGAGAATAATTTACTGCAGTCAGACTTAATAAAAAACAAAGGCAACATGTTATTTTTCTATTGCTTTTGAGCACTAGACGGTAATTTGTTCAATACTTTCCAAGACCACAGTCATCTTTTTTTTTAATCAATAAGACATTGTGAAGAGCTGTCTTTTTTCATAGAGTATTTGGAAAAATTACATTCTCCTCTGGACTCATCAGTCCTATTTTGTAAACTCTATAAAATACAGTGGAACCAAGACAAATTCAGGGAGTCTGAGGTGCTTCCAAAAAGGGCCCTCTCGATGTGGTGCGGGGGGACGAGAGAAAAAACAAGAGGAAAAGCACTTTGCTTCTGTGCTACATGTTCTAGAACCTTCCTCACAGTAGGTCTAAAATCTATGTCCTGTCAACTCAAGAGGGACGGGTCAGTCCCTAAAGTCTCCAAACTCTCAGGGGAAAATGCACTTCTGTTGCTGATGCGTTGGCAGCACTTGTCGAGTCCCCTGTAGTTAGTTCTCCCCGAGTTGAGCAGACGTCACAGAGTGCTGTTCTTTACTTCTCTCCTCCCTTTTCTTGTTCTGTCACAGTGATCCCTGACGACATGTAATGAGACCTATTCCCTATCTCCTAGGCTTCAACCATCAAATGTTTCCCTTGAACTTTGTGAGGCTTGGGATGCACAGGAAGTTTATATATGATTTTTCCAGACCTCTTCCTATCTTTAAGAGAATAATCTATGCTCTACCTGTACATGTGCCTGTTTGTGTGCATATTTGTGTGCATGTGTGTGTGACTAACTTGTGTCTCTTTGCTAGTTTATATGCAGTGCACATATTTAATCCTTATCCACCATCTGTTTTTGCATTTTTGTCCATCTTTTGAAAAGATGGCCCTGTTTGCTATATACTTATCAGTTCTGAAAACCAATTACCTTACTTATGGGGAAAAGACTGAGAGAATCTTCTGATGGGAAAAGGTATCAAAAGTAACTATTTGCAACAAAAGAGAATATGAGGATCCAATAGGGCATCACTACCAGTAAAGTCTACAAATATGAACTCCAATATTTAGTAGGTTTCCCTGTGGTTTATAGGCTTTTATACTTAATTTTAGAAGATAAGTTAATAGAGAAGAAAGCATAAGAAAGAATATGAGGCAGAAGGAGGAATGAATATAATACTATTAACATCTAAATATGCAGAGTGCCGGGGATCTAGCTCAGGGCCATAAGCACCTGCATTGCAAGCATGAGGTCGACAGTTCTATCTCAGATAACCCACCCCCAAAGTTAAATGTGCAGAGTATTATCTTGTGGACTCTACATTATATCTCATTTTATATTCATAGCTACAACATATGATAATATGATCCCCTTTTCATTTATTTTTATTTGCACTACTGATAATCAAACACAAGGCCTCTTGCACACAGCAAATGCTCAACCATCGAGCTACATTAGCAACCCACTACCTGCTCTTTAAATGCAATGAATGAATGAATGAATCTTAGCAACACTAAGACATTGGCCAAGATCATACCTCTGTCTACTGGGTCTTGAACCTGGGCTTGTTATGAGTTGAGCCACCATGTTAGACAGAAAGCTTAGTATAAAATGAAGGCATTTTCCAGGATAATACAAAAACCTATAAACCTGACTTTAATATCAATAGAGAAAGAAAATATTGCATTGCATACTGAAGTGTCTACCACTCCATTACAAACAGCAAATTTATTAACAAAAAAGACCCCATTTCTTAATGTGAATTTAACAAAGACCAAAAAGTAATAATAGAATCATCATGCAAATAAACTCATACTGGCATCGACCCAAGTCAGCCTGACTCACACTGTGTTCCCTAATGATCATGTTTGTGACACACTCTATCCTGAGCTGGGCCCATCAGATTGTCTGCTTGGATCCAGAAGCCATTTGGGGTCAAATCATGCTGTGGCAGTGACTTAAGGACAAGTGTCACCAGTTTCCAATTGTTAAGGTCTCAAGAGCAACTCTGCTTCTGTCTTCCTCAGGACTTGAAAGTCCCCAAGACATTTGCCATAGCTGGTGATATGATAAAGTTAATAAAAGTCATAAAACTTCTTATGGCTACAGTTTATAATAGCAAAATGATACAGGTTAAAATCACCAAAGAGACGCATAGAGTCCAGGAGATGCACTGCACACAACTCCCAAGGCAAGTGAGCTGTCCCTTCTGAAGCAGTCATGTGAGGACACAGTGCTCTCAGCAAAGACTGTGACAACACATGTAAAATGCTGCCAACCAGAGACGCCCGCCCAAGCTTTGGTGTCCAGGGATTTACAGCGGATTTGTCACATAAGCACTTAGTTCCCATGACACCTACTTCAGCTGCTCGTATTCCTCCCTCACCCTTGCTCCCACCCTCAGAAAAACGCAGGTGTTAACCAAAATCACACTGTTAATCTAAAACGGTCTAATCAAAGTGATACCTCATGGCCAAGGCCTCTAACCCCAAAACAGACGTTTGCAGTAGCGTAGTATGGCACAAGGGCTCCCCAATACAGAGCCTTCTGATGGGACAGCTGTTTACAAGTGCCCACGGACCAGCTCCCAGAAGCCAGCTAGGGCCTTTCCTACAGACAGGCCTTGCCTTGAAAGTGCAGGGTGAGACCAGCCAGGCCTGCTCAGTGGGCAAGCCCTCCCCACCAGGCAGCTTCGCTTCTTACTGTCTGAGGCATGCAGTACCCTTTCAATAGCCCTTTCTTACTGAGGTTTTCTAAATTTAATTTTATTCCTTTGCAAAAAAAATGATACAAAACTGACATGTGTGTCCAATTTATCATTAGTTTGCAAATTCTATTCTGAGCCTAACAATTTACATTTCAGAGCCTTTCCATTCC